AAAAAGGGGATGCTTCTGGCCTGAAGAAGAGAGAAAAGGAGAAGCAGCAAAAGGTGAAGCAACGATCTCGAGATGTACGCTCATATGTATGCGTCGGACGACTGCGTGGTAGGAGTAAGGTAAGGTAGTCAAGGCTAGGTGGCTAAAGGTAAATGGAGGCTCCAAGAAACACATAGGCGTACAAACCCGAACGAGACAACCAGGTACAGACTTGGCACAACCACGGTGTTGGATCCTCCCAGGAAAGCCGCACTACTCCATACCACTACTACCACCTCTGGGCTCTTGGCCCGGCCCATTCTCTCCCCCTCGGTCTCTGTCTCTGTCCATCTCGCCCATGCTACCCTGCTCGGTTGCTCTAACCTCCCCCCTCGAGCCGTGATGGCTGTGTGGGGTCCCCGCAATCGCGGAGACCCGGCCGCTGTGGATTTGTTAACCCAATGGACTACGTAGATTAAGTGTAGTGGATAGCATTCTGAAGCCGTGAGAGAAGGTTTGCATATGCTCGCTGGTGGATATGTTTATCCGTCGAAATTTTGACGGATTTCCAAACACGCACCAAAGACCAAAGGGGATGGAACCACTTTTAGTCGAATGTTGCTGGCATTTGTCATGTAAGAATATGGACATGACGGATTTGTACCCACTTTGCGTTGAGCTTTCCTCGTGACTGTTCTCTAGCCCGACGGACTTGTCTCAAGTTCTCGTAGCTTGTCATTCTAAACCCCAGTCATCTTGAGAAACAAAATGATGAATGATTTCAACATGACCTAGGTTATCGGTTATTGTCAAGTCACACGGTGACATGATGGCATCCGTGCGGTTCCGACAGAGAGGAACAAGCTAACGGACTTGTCAACCATCGGTCCACGTCAATCTCGAGCTGATGTGTCTCTCGAAAAGCTTCGCCCAGTCTAACAAAGACATAGATCCAAGTCAGAACTGACAACTATCCGGCAGTTGGAGGCTGCGGAGAATAAACCCAACCAACCAGCCACCGCGACGGGCATGCTTAATCCCCAAATCCCCCGAAGTCGATCCCTCTGGGCGCAACCCCCTCCTCTCCCCTCCCCGACTCAAATCCTCCCGTCTTCTCCCGCGATAAACACACCCTCGTGCGGGGAAAGTGTGGTGCGGGGGATGACGGACTTTGGAGATAGTCGACCGGGCGCTGACAGTCGCGTTGTCTTCGTGGGTTCACGCCATGTGGATTCGTACAGTCAAGATAATGCTCGCGAAGGAAAAGAGCAAGTCGTAGCGGATTAACAATTTCGTTAGAGATTCATATACTTCGTCGGAATTAAATACATGCATTACAGCATTACGTTCTTTCGTCCATCATTTTCATAGCCAATGTGTCTCTTCTCGCTAGGCACTCGGTGCGTCATCACACAGCACCACAGCAGCAAGAGACAATAGCAATACCCTCCACAATCAGCACTCTACACCTGCACATCCTTCTCAGAGTGCGAGACGCGAATCTGCTGGTGATAGTTATTCATCGCCTTCTCGTCAACGGCGCCCTCCTCAAACACGTCAACAGTGGTGCCCTCGAACTTGCGCGCGGCAACCTTGTGCTCAAACAGCTTGTCCAGCTCGGCGTAGGTGCGGCCGCGGGGCTCGGGGACGCGGAAGTAGGTGTACACGCAGCAGAGGAAGCAGATGCCGCCCCAGAAGAAGCCAGTGTAGTTTTGCCAGTTCCAGGCGCTGGGGTTGAGCATGTACGGCGTGAGGACGTTGTTGATGATTCCGACAATGTTGCTGTGGGGACAGTGTGGTTAGCATGCGTTCGATTTTCAGACCGGAAAGTGCATCGGGAACTTACTAGAGGTTACGGCCAAGGACGACAGTCTTGATCTGCAGACGACGCGACGGCAATTCACTGACGAGCGAGTAGCACACGGTGCCGACGGTGAGCTGGTAGAAGAGAGCCCAGACCATCATGATGGAGCCCGTCGCGAGCGCGCCCTGGTCGCGGTGTTCGGCCGGCACGAGGCCCAGGAAGCCGAGGATCATGAGCATGCTGCAAAGACCGCAGAGACCGTAGAGGTACAGCGTGCGACGGCCGATACCCCACGACATGAGGAACCACGCGCCAAAGACACCGACCATGTTGATGGCGTACTGGCCGAGCGCAAAGTTGTACGAGTTTCTGGTGGAGAGACCGGCCTGCTTGAGGAAGTATCTGTGTGCATCGTAATGTTAGTCTGGTGCAACTAAAACTCAAGCAATAAAAGTGCACAAAGGCAGAGACTTACGTAGAGTAGTTGGAGAACGAGTTGCCGCTGAGGTTCTGAATGGCCCAAACCATGCACACAATCTCGGTGCGGCGCAGGTCGACGCCCTTGAAGCAGTCCAGGTAGGATGCGCCCTCGGTAATTTTCTCCTCAATCGAGTTGGTGTGCACCATCATGGCGACCGTCTCGTCGGCGTCGAAATCAGTCTCCTTGTCTCTGCTCGTCAGGCGCAGCAGCGACTTCTTGGCCTCGTCAATCTTGCCCTTGCGCACCAGCCACCAGGGCGACTCGGGCGCAAAGTAGATACCAATGGCCAAAGGCACCGGCCACATCCACTGCAGCGCGTAGGGAATGCGGTATGCCCACTCGTCCTGGCGGTCGAGCATAGAGACGATGACGCCGATACCAATCTCCTGGCCCATACCCCAGCAAAAGTTGACATAGGTCGTCAGGTAGCCGCGCAGGGCGACGGGGCAGACTTCGGAGGCATAGGTGATGCACAGCGTCTGGAAGACACCCCATGGGATACCGCAGAGGATCTCGGCGGCGAGCAGAGTCTGAACGTTTTGCGCGGTGAAGAAGATTGTGGTGAAGGCGGCGACTAGCAAAAGACATGTGATGACGGTCCACCTATAGCCGAAGCGTTCCGAGACCCATCCGTTGATGAAGAGACCGATGATCTCGCCGACGGTGGCACCGTTGCTGAGGCCGGCTTGCCACGGCGCAGGGACCTGGTAGGATCCGTCGGCGGTGAGGACGCCGTACTTTTGGTTAAATTGCGGGAATGCGTAAAAGTTGCTGACGAGACTGATGTCGTAGCCCTCCATGGCGATGCAGGTGGAAATAAGTACACTCCATGCAATGGCCTTGGGGTAGAGCTTAATGCCCTGCATCAGAGTCATCTTGTGCTCCTTGTCCGTGGCCGCTTTGGCGTTCTGGACAAAGTTGCTGGCGAGTTTGGCCGAGTGGTGATCGCCGATCTCGGCCGAGACGCGGTCTGGTGCGGCGACCACATCATCGTGCGCCGATTTGGACTCCATCGTGGATGGGCTTTGGAGGAAGGGTTGCGTTGCGTGGCGTGGTGGAGGTGTTGTTGTTATTGATGACTGTTCTCAAGGAGAAACTGAATTCTCTCGAGGTTCTACGGCGATGCACACACTATCGCGTGCTGCAATGGGGAGATTGCGCGCACAACGTGGAGATCGTTGAAGCGTTGCCAAGGCTGGCGTTGAGCAGATGTGGTGAAGAAAAAGAGCTCTGAGAAAGCGGCTGCGCTGGGAGATGCTGCTTGCTGAAGAGGAGATCGTCAAGAGGTGGAGATTGAGGGGGGAATCGCTGGATGTTATATAACAACAAAATATTCGCGCGCGACGGGAACGAACGGTCCTGGATTGTGTGGGACGATGGCTACGGGCCTACGGCTTCGATGGGAAAACCCACAAAAGAAAGGGCTCGAATTTTTTTGAAGAAGTGCGAAAGACTGGGGCCAGGACATTGAACTCGTCTAGTTGTTTGATTTGATTTGTTCCGTTCGGTATCGCGCGTCCTCTTTTTTTGTGGTCAAATAAACAAGGGCAATCTTCCGATAGACCAGTCGTCAGCTATTGGAAGGATGAGGAGAATCCTGTGCCGAGAAGACCAGGGGACTGGTCAAAGTTACCGAAGCCGTCGCAATTCGCAAGGGGCCTTTGAAGTCTTTGGCTTCTTGGAGACATGGAAGAGCAGAAAAGGGAGCTAGCCATTGGGCAGATTGGTTCTCGTCGGCGAGGGGTACCCGTTCATCTTTTGATGGCAGATGCTGGGGTAATTTGGGACTTGGGCGAGATAAGGTAAAGCGACGTGACATTTCTGTCGTCGGGGTGCCGCCCAAGGGGGGTTGGCGTGTTTCTCTGTGTCATGACAGGGTGCGTTCGACATCTGCCAGGCCGTCAGGTTGGGACGGAGATGGGAACCCTTTGCTGCCATTGAGTTTGTCTGGGCCAACTCTAGCGTGCGGGGGAAGTTTGAGCGTCGCCATGTTGGTGGTGTCGAAATGGTCAGCTGAGCGGCCGTTGAATCGTTGGTTGCGTGCAGACCCAAGCCATCGGGAAGAAGTCCATGGCTGCTGCAGCAAGGGAGGGCGGGGAAGAAAAGTTCGGGTCAGTGAGTACGGCGTAGTGAGGGTGAGAAACAAAGATAGAGTTGGCGCCGGTAATGTGGGAGGGAAGGGCGGACGAATGAAAAGAAAACTATTGAGAAACTCGTTCGACTTTGCTGAAGAGCCAGAGGCCCGGGAACAATTGAATCCAAGAGCCCAGAAGAGCCAACAAGAGTCTTCAAGTATCTGCGCCAACTTTGCTTGTTGGCATGACACAGTTTGTTGGCAGTTGGGTACCGATAGCGAAAAAGAGAGAGCGCTGGGGAACCGTCGGAGTGGCTCGGCCATCGGCGTCTGGCTGGCCTTTTGAGACTGGCCTGAAGTGCCCAGAAACTGGCAGAGTCTGAACTGGTTAAAAAAGGGGTCCCTGACTCTCTGTGTCTGTGGTGTGTGTGTGTGCTATGTGTGTGTCGTGAGTGGAGAGGTGTCGTCGGATGTGCTGCTGACCAACTCGCATCCCCACACACGTCACTGGTCGTCGCCCCGGACTCAAGCTTCAATTCAATTTCAGATCTGCTCAAAAATCGAGGGGCTCCCCCAGATCTTCTCCATCTTCCCCGGGTTTCAATCATTTCATTGCAGCCTCAACTGGGGGCTCGGAAAGAATTGCAAGTGGCACAAGTGCCATGCCGTCTCCCGAAGCGCCTGATTCGCTAAGTGCCACGACCTGGTGAGTGAGACTCTGCTGATCCACCCGAGGAGGGGCCGGCCTCTCGGGGAAAAACACCTGTTTTGGAGGCGTCAATTTGGAGGCCATTCGCACCGACGGCGACACGGACAGCGGCGCCGCTCACCTTGAGACGCGGGGTGCCGAGCAGATTTCGGCGAGAGATGAAGGCAATGAAGCTCTCGCCGGTGATGGCAAGGTGAAGGAAGCTCAAGGGTCTTCGTCGACGCCGTTGCCATCTGCTGCTCCAGCTGAGAAAGAGTGAGGAAGTCGGTTGCGATGGCTCTGAACTCGGTCTGTGAGAAAAGAGGCAGCTGTGGAGAGAGAGAGCCGGTGGGAGAGAACCGCAAAGTTCGACAGATATATCATGATCGAGGAAGAGGTTGCTGACTGTGTTTGATCCGTGCAGCGAGCAGTGTCGCGAGCAGCACCTGCGATGTGATCGAGTGCTGCCCATCTGCGGGCGGTGCCTGATGACAGGGCGAGAGTGCAAAAAGGGCTACAAGTTTCGCGCCCCCAAGCACGCCGTATTCAGAGAGAGCCACAAGTGGCCTGCGCCGCCAAAGAAGCTCAAGTTCATCGACGAGACTCGCGGTGTCGAGCTCGGCGAGGACCTCGACAGCAACGAGTCTGTTCACGACTCGGCGCCAGACGTTGACGAAGTTGGGACAGAAGCCACAACAGAAGTCGCGTCCACTTCGCCAGGCACGGCTACGGCCGTAGACTCGACAGTCTCTGATGATCAGCGTCGGCCGTCAATATACGCAGCAAAGGCGGCGAGCTGGCCTTTGCCTGGAGACGAGAGCCGGCCCGGCGCCAAAAGCGTCGTTGATGGCGGCGACGTGGTGGACGAGCCTGTCCAACCTCCGCATCGAATATCGTTGAGTACGCCTGGCGCCGACAACCACAGCCAGCACGGTAGCCATCGCGAACATTCTGGCTCCGTCGTGAGTCTGCCGCCGGTGCAGTCGATGTTGCCGCCGTTGGAGGGCATATACACCGATCGACCGATATGGCCTATCCAAGGGCGAAAAGAAGCCACGCTGTTCCGTCATTACGTGGACAAACTTGGATTCTGGGTATGTTGAAATAGCTGCGGGATGGCTTGCTTTTTTGAAGCAACGAAGAAACGACACTGACCGGACCACCAGCTCGATGCGTGTGATCCCTCCAGACATTTCGAGGTCGAAGTACCGCAGCGTGCCGGCTCATGTCCCATCTTGCTCAACGCCATCTTCGCCCTTGCCTCGAGGCATCTGAGCCTGACGAGCGCATACGACTCGCTGGCATCGAACCGGTACCACGAGCAGTGCCTCAACTACTTGATCCCACTGCTGGACCACGCAGGAACGGTGTCGGACGAGAACTTGTTTGCTGCAACAATCATACTTCGCGTGCTGGAAGAAATCGATGTAAACACCCTGGGCCAGGACACGCACGGCCACCTACTCGGAATTCACGCCTTTGTCAACGCCGGAGACCGATTCCTTATGCCGGGAACTTTGACGGCGGCATGCTTTTGGGCTGGACTGAGGCAGGAGATCTACAGCGCCGTCATCAACCAACAGGTGGTCCGAATGAACCTCGGTCATGCCATTGTCGACCGATCCACCACCCCGGCCGACGACTTTGTCTGGGCAAATCGTGCCATTGTCCACTGCGCCGATGTCCTCAACTTCTGCTTCGGGTCCGAGGCGGGGTCGGTGCTGCAATGGGGCCAGCTCGAAATGGCAAACAGAGAATGGAAGAACGCGCTACCGCCTTCGTATACTCCCATCTTCTTCCGAGAGAGGACAGATGAGGAGGCTTTCCCCGAAGTATGGTACCAGAAGGCTTGTCATAGTGAGTATACCCCTGGTCTGGTCCCGGTCTGGTCTGGCCTGATCTCGGAACTGCTCCCGGACACGGAAAGTATCTCAGATATCCGACGATCCGGAAGGCTGGCTCATGGCCAACCCTCCTCTTCAGGAACCGCTTACTGACAACTCCTCGGTAGTCATCGCTGTCCAACACCACATTCTCGCCGAAATGTACCTCGTGCTGTTCAATCCGAGCATACCACGAGTCGGCGGCGGCCGCAAAGCTGCTGAGAAAAGGCTGACCCAGCAGATTCAGGATCTCCTGCGGAGTCTCTGTGGAATTGGCATGTGCAACCAATGGTCACCGCCGGCCATGTTCACGGCGTGTATGGGTATAGCCATCGGTACGTTTTGCTTTCTTGTTCCTTTCCGGTTCTTCTTTCGTTGCTTTTTTCCTATTTCCGTAGCTTTCAAATTCGAACGTCCTGAACAGTAGACTAATTTGGGCCTCCTCCAGCCGGTGATCGATTCGACACCAAGCATGACCAGGAAGCTCTGCTGAAGATGCTCAGCATCACCGAAAAGGCCCACGCAAGGCCCACGACAGCGGTGCGGGATCAGCTGATGCACGCATGGGGCTGGTTGGACGGGGAAGCAATGAACGAGGATTGAGGAGGAGCACAGGGTGACCGCCCACTCCGCCTACCCCAGACCGCAGAGGTTGGGAGAGGCGGGGTTCAGAGACATGCGTAGGCGAACTGGACTGGCAGGCCAGTCGCCGAGAAGATGTTTGATGAAAGCCTCTTCCATTGGATCACGATAATCACTGCTGGCGAGACACGAGAGAGATCGCCTCTCACTTGGAATTGGATGTGGATCACAATAGACTTGGTGCATGGGGCTGGACTGGACTGAACTGAACCGGACAGGACTGGATACGTCCCCCGGACTTGGATTTCGCTTGGTTTGCAATCTGTGGATACCCGACTTGATAGTGTAGAAGCGTCATGATGCTGTGTTTGTAGCGGCAGGATCTGGCTGGCCCGGCTGGGCTGGCACAGTAGTATAGCGTACGATGCAGGTTGAAAGCAATCGGACATATTTCGCGATTCCATCTGCTTGGTTCTTCATTATCCGCGGGTTATCGCTGGCCAACCTGATCTCGAGAGTGTCTGATTTCAAAGATAGTGATGCTCACGGCCTCCCCGCACACGGCGCACACGGCGTTCCATCCACATGGCGCCCATATACGAATAGATGAGCATCGTCGTGTAATGCCGGCTGGTCTGAGCTTGAAACTGACAGCTGCCGTGGCACATTGGAACACGTAGGGACCATCCAGATCCCGCGGGGTTGTTTGGGAAGCGTGGGGAAGCCAGCAGGTCTTGGCCAAGCTCGCCCTGGATTACCGTCAGGGACGACATTGGGAAGGAGGCCCCGAAGCTGTGACGAAAATTGATGTCAGACATGTTCGTTTTGGGCGAATCGAAGGTTCCGAAGCCAAGAATCTCGGGAGAAGGCCGGGACGGACACCGGGTGACGGTGAGGGGAGAGGTCTGGCAAGGCCTGGGCAAGGGACCACTGGGATATCCCCTCCGGCAAATGTTCTATATCCAATCAGTAGGAAGCCATTACTGAAAAGAGGAGAGGAATCCGCGGGGATGGAGATGTCCTGCATTGAGCGGGAATGGCGTTGGTTGTCGTTGGCAGGGGGGCGTCGAGGTCTGCGTGGCAGCCAAGTGCCAAAAGAGGGAATAATCAAAAATAGTCTGCAAATCCCATGATGAAGACGGCGGGGCCAGAAGGTCTCGTAGGGTCGTGGAGGGGTGGACCGGGGGAAAAGCGATTAAGCTTTGCCGCAGAAAAAGAATCCAAGGTTGGCAGAGACGCAAGGGCGCCGTCACATTGCATCGTTTCTGGCCATCCCGAAATGCGGTTGGCGTGGAGTCGTGGAGGTCTGGAGAATAGGCGAAGCGGGATTGAAGGTGTGGAAGAAGCGTTCGAGCGTTTGCGACTAACAAGGATGGCAGTCGTGGATCTCGGAATTCTTTACCATTGTCGTCGGGAGTTGACGAGAGGTCAAAACTTTTGGAAATTCCAGCAACTTGCACGAGTCTCCATATGGTCCCAATGAGGATTAGTGAGAAGACTCCAGAGTCATGTGAGGTCATGTGACCGGAGATTCTGGCTGCTTCTGTTCCGGCGAGTGAAGAGTGGGTCCAGCTCTGGATTTGGGTGGGGTCCTCTTCCAGCAAGAATTCGGCGATTTTCTCCTCTTCCAACGACGCAAAACTTGGAATCCCCTCGCCGGCCTCGCCTTTCTTCGTCGCAACGTAGCAACTCTCTAGGGCCTCTCCACAGATCTGAAATCTCGCCCCGTCTTTCCTGCTCCATCTGGATCATAACCACTCTCCGCGGGGCATAGTTCTGCACGGGCAAGACAAGGGCCATGCAGATGACGACCCTTCACGGCAAAAACGTCAACTCGGGCTGCTTGTCCAAGTTAGCCTTTTGCCCACACCAGTACGGATGGATACCCGGTGCTGCCATGACGAGGTACTTGGCCCGAATACTGCGTCTGGCGGGCGATACTAGGTACCTCGCCATGTCCGAGTTTTTTCCCGTCCTACTCCTTCGTTACTCTTCTTGCCCTTCGTAATCTTCATCTTCCGTGATCTTGTCTTCAACAACATATTTAAAGACTATCTCCAGATACCTACTTCTCCCTCTTTTTGCTCATCATCAAACCAGTCTTCAGCATTCGAGTGATACCCCCCTTTTGAAAGATCATCATATATCGACTCTTTCTTCATATCGAGCTGTAATCTTTCTTAGACTTTCTGTACCAAACTCTTCTTTTCGACTTTGCAAACTACCGTCACAATGGCTGCTGCTGTCGCCACCCCTTACGTCCGCACCGACGGACACGCCCTCGAGGAGACCACCGACTTTGTCGAGGAGGTCAACATCCTCAAGGACCAGTACAATAAGGCACAGAACGACTTCGAGGGCGAGTCCAAGTTCGACTCAGAGAAGGACAAGACCGCTTTCCGCCAGTACGAGGATGCTTGCGACCGCGTCAAGAACTTTTACAAGGAGCAGCATGAGAAGCAGACCGTCGAGTACAACCTCGCTGCCCGCCAGAAGTTCGCCATTGACCTTACTGGCAAGATCCCCTGCCGCGATGAGATGACCATCTGGGAGGCCATGGAGAAGCTCAACACCCTCATCGACAACTCGGACCCCGACACCGAGCTCTCTCAGATCCAGCACTTGCTCCAGACCGCCGAGGCCATGCGCCGTGACGGCAAGCCCCGCTGGATGCAGCTTACCGGCCTGATCCACGATCTCGGCAAGCTTCTCTTCTTCTACGGAGCCGAGGGCCAGTGGGATGTCGTCGGTGACACCTTCCCCGTCGGATGTGCCTTTGACAACCGCATCGTCCTCCCCACCACCTTTGAGGGCAACCCCGACAACACCCACCCCGTCTACAGCACCAAGAACGGCATCTACGAGCCCGGCTGCGGTATTGAGAACCTCATGATCTCTTGGGGCCACGACGAGTACATGTACACCGTCTGCAAGGAGCAGTCCAAGCTTCCCCGTGAGGCTCTCGCCATGATCCGCTACCACTCCTTCTACCCCTGGCACCGCGAGGGCGCCTACCGCGAGTTCATGAAGGAGGGTGATGAGGACCTCCTCAAGGCCGTGCTTGCCTTCAACCCCTACGACTTGTACAGCAAGTCTGATGATGCCCCCACCGTTGAGGAGCTCAAGGTATGTCTTACTCAGTCCTATCCAGATCTAAATTTCATCATGAGACTAACAATTTGATAGCCTTACTACATGGAGCTTATCGATGAGTACTTCCCCACCAAGGTCATCAAGTGGTAGACATGCCCTTTCAGATTGTCATGTTACGACGGGTACGAAATGAGATGGGACCTTTGGCATACACGCCCTGGGACATATGTTCATGTCGCAAGAGGCACGGCGTTTTAATTGGGATACTTGATGATACATTTGAGCGGTCTTTGTGTGCGCGTATGAGATAAAAACATGGCCAGAAGAAGCCTTGACGAGTCAACTGAAAGTACTCGAGTTCAGGGAGTCTAGAATTCTTTCTAATAGACTAGCGCTCTGAAGAAATTGTTGCAGCGCAAAAAGATCCGGACCATGTGATGTTGCCTTCACCTGTCGATTCACTTAATATAGCCAGGTATCGCGAGCAGCTAATCTTGTCGTGATGCAGGAACTCACAGTTTGTCTGTGTTTCATCACACCCACCCACACCTAGACACAGTCAGCTGCTTCACTCATCTCATGACTCTTATCCTTGGCAGCGTAGATGACAAACGCAACTCATCGTGTCTTTCAACCCCAGAACTTCATCTGACTATTTATCAACGCAAGTGAGATAAAGTTGCTCGAACATTCACCTGATTCTCATCACCCTCCTTTCAATCCGAAATTGAGCTTAATGCCGGTGGAGTTAGTGTAGTGATCTCCCTCACTAACGGTAATTCAATAGATCGTACTGTTCTACATATTATGTATCAACACGCTGGTTGCTTGTCAACCCGAACCTTGGCTTGGATTCCTCATCGAACACCTCGGACCGTGGTATTTCTCTCAACGCCAACCCATAGGCGCACCAATTGAATGACTGCTTACGAATCGCCACATCAAGATAACGAGGGACTTCTGATTCGGCCCCCGACTTAAAGCAGTTATCCAATGGCATGATCCCATTGCCCCACCCTCTCAGCGACCGGAGGCCCCGATCATGATCCGTGTCGGTAAGGTCCACATCACCGAGAGCAGGGCCCGCTTACGGAGCCGGTCGGGGCATTTGTCTTTACCCTTACCCCAGATCGTCACATTGAGCAAAACATGCTGTGCGACTTTTCTTTCTTAGGCATAGAAAAGAATTCAGACTTTGCAACTCAGGCAAACTTGAGGCAACTCATCAAGGGAGTGGCAGGTGTTTCTCCCCACATATGCCACATGTCTCGAACTCCTAAATTCACACGATGTGAGGCCAATTTCACTCCAGCCCTGAGGCCAAGTCGTGCGCTTACCAACGACCCACAAACGCACCCACAAGCACACAAAACTGTAGACATCGTGACTCAACAGAGAACGATCCACAAATCCAAAGCCCTAATGAACACCTTGTGCTCTCGCCCTCGACATCAACGAGTACCCATCATCAAGCACAATAGCTCAGGGGTAGAGCGCTGGGCTCATAACCCAGAGGTCCCTGGATCGAAACCAGGTTGTGCTATCACCACTTTTGACTTTTTGGTTTCCTAGTTCTCCAGAATCAGAGTGCACTTGCGCTCTCTTTATATCAAGCGCTGGTGGTCCATTTCCACGGATCAGACCGACTTCTTTCTCGATTCTTCCAAGATTGAAAGCATGAGGCCATCACTGACCGTGTTTGGACAAACTAGACAATGTGTAAAACTGCAGGCCTGAGAGCCCTCTGAGCACGAGTGAACCATGTTTCTTCAAAAAGTTTTGCCTGGTGGTGTTTGCGCCACCACTGACCGTTCTCTAGCCCTTGGGAATTGGTTCATCCCATGTTTCCCAACCCACTTGACCAGGTTTGTCGGACTCAAAGACAGCCGTCCGCCGACCTCATAAAAGCGCAAGCGCGTATTATTCTC